AGCCAAGAATCACGGAAGAAGGCAGGACGATCTGGTAAAAAGCAATCAGGCATGGTTGTCATTCGGAACATTAATTACATCACTAAAAATGCGAAGAACTCTGCTTGTAGTGAGTCAGATTCAGCTTCTGACTCTGAAACTGACGTGTATGGTGAAGGTTTGCCGGCTGATGATCCAGATATGATGCATAAGAACACTTTGAGATCTTCAAGAAGAAAAGGAAGCCATGCAAAGTCTACAGATGAATCAAATTTATATGATAAGGAAGAAATTACTTATGAAAAGGAGACAGATGGTGGACACTGGCAAGCATTTCAAACTTGTTTATTGAGAGGTGCTGATGAAGATAATCACGCTGCCAAGGAAGGCATGTTTGCCATGGAGAAAGATGTTCAAATGAAGAGACGCCAAAATAAAATGGGTGATGATCTTTTGGCTCTTGGGGGACGAGTTCCCGTTAAAATACAAGACAGGAGGATGACTGATTTCCACAGGGACAGTGGAAATGGATCTCGCAAGCTCAGGTTGTCAAACGATGAAATTCCAATTTCTGGATATGAAGATCACAGGGGGCCTGTTGATGACCAAATGGATATACATTTCACAGAAATAGATGGAAGAAAGGTTATGTATAGGAGGAAGGCAAATGATGATTTTATGATGAATGGAAGAGAAAACCAATCAGGTTTGGGGCGTTCATCAGATCCACTGACTGTAAATGGATTTGACCCTGCAACCGGTAATTTGGATAGAAAATCATCACATGATATCACTGATGAATCCTTCATAGTTCCATTCAGGTCAATGCCACTAGATCAAGCTGGAACTGACGACAGAACTGCTATTGATATGGACTCTGAGCTCCCATCAACACATCAGAAGTCGGAAAACAATCTAAATGGGATAGAAAGTCAGACCAATTATGAGCCTGATGATCTAAGCTTGATGCCTGAACGTGGAACAGAAAAGAGGTCCATTGGATATGACCCCAGTTTGGACTATGCAATGCAGGTTTGTGACGATGCCGCTTCCCTTGAAAAAAGAAATAAGGAAGTTGTGACTGATGTCAAGCAAAGTTCTAACAAAGGCAAGGAGCGGAAGTCAAAAGTTACTCCAGATAATTTAGAGAAGAAGACCGGGGGGCCAATAAGAAAAGGAAAGCCATCAAAGATAAGTCCTTTAGATGACGCACGAGCACGTGCCGAGAAGCTAAGAGCCTACAAATCTGATCTCCAGAAAATGAAGAAAGAGAAGGTAGTTTTGCTTACTATTTATCAATTGTTCAAGTGCACAATGATTTGAACAATCGTGGCAAAGTGGCTAGGCCACTTCAATTCTTACATATGCCATATAAAACCAGTTGGCATGGCTAGTTTTTGCCTCCATGTTTCTTTGCTAGCTACTATGTTTAGCCTTTTCACTGGACTTTTATATCTAATATTTAGTCATTTTACAGGAAGAGGAAGATTTAAAACGAATTGAAGCTTTGAAGATGGAGAGGCAAAAGAGAATTGCAGCGAGAGGCAGTTCCACATCTGCTCAGTCACAATTGCCCTCACTGCAATCAAGAAAGTTGCCGACAAAACTTTCCACCGTCAATCACAAGGGATCCAAGTTCAGTGATTCAGAGCCAGGATCATCATCACCTCTGCAGAGATCCAAAATAAAAACTGCTTCAATTGGATCCAATGATTTTCACAAAGCCTCTAAAGCAAGCAGATCCAGTGATGGCAGCCACTTGGCAGGGAATAAGTTGAGTAGGTCCGCGTCATCATTATCTGAGCCAAAGAAAGAAAGCAGTGGTGCTACTCCTGATTCGAAAGCTTCTATGGTGCGGATTAGAAGATTATCAGAGCCCAAAACAATTGGCAGTCATATTGCTACTTCAGTAAAGGTGCGAAGTTCCAACCAGATAACAAAGCCAAAGGTATCTGATGGACCTGAGAGCAAGAAAATATCTGCTATTATGAACCTTGATAGAAGTAAAGCCGCAACTCTTCCAGAACTGAAGATCAGGACATCTAAAGGACCTTCTAATGTAGTCCAGAATAAATCAGCAGCGAAGGTGAATGGAGGCATGGCTTCTGTAACTTCCGATAGTGCTGAACGGAACAAGAACAATAACAAAGTATCACATCAGAGTGATGTGGATGACAACCCAATTATTGAGAAAACTGTTGTGATGCTGGAATGTGAGAAGCCCTCTATTCTTGCTGCGCAAGCATTAGAGGAGAAAATGGGGTCACTTGAGGGGCATTATGATAATCATGACATGGGAGAGAAAATTGAGGTGGCACCAGAGTATGCAGCTATTCGTGCACCACCATTACCTATGGATGGAGGTGGCAGAGAATTCAAACCAAGCCAACTACAGGGGGAAGCCAGTTCTTGTGAGGTAGGATTGGTAAAACCAAATTTACTTTCATCACAAGTTATTTCTCTATAATTCGTATCAAAAGGATGTGAATTCCATGGTCTAACTATCTTCGTCAGGTCTTCCTACAGGAGATTATTGAGGATGTAAGTGTAGTAATTCCTAGATCTAGTTTAATTGATTATGCCCCTTTTCCATTTATCAAAATTAATTGTTACTCTTCAAAGCAATGCTCAGTGGCACTTTTGTTCAGTGATATACACCTGAATTCAGCTTGCATTTTACTTCTGATGCAGTGTCATGTATGGCAGTTGCAGTCATTTATACTCAAAGAACAACACTTGAACCTATATTTAAATGGGAAAGCATATATCAATAAGTATACAGTAACAAACTAGTTCATTTTCCTCCATTTAAGATTTATTAAGTTTTTTTCTTTCCAAAATAGTAATGCATATTATGTCGCAGTGTGTCAATTAAATTATTTAGTTGATCTCATTTTTCTGAAACAGTATCCTTTGATGATCAGGTGACAACAAATTATGCGGAGAAGGAATTGCCGAAGCTTACAAGCATCACTACTGCTGAAAAATCTTATCAAGCCCCTTATGCTCGGGTCTCATCTTTAGAGGACCCGTGTACTGGACATTCTGAGTATGGGAAAGCACCCCCAGCAAGCTCCGCAATGGTATCAACAGATGTCGATACTGTTAAAACACACGTTTCTAATGTGCAAAGCTTAAAAGTAGAGATGATTCCAGAGGACATGGAAAAGCCTCGGGTAAAGGAATCATCAAAAGGGTTTAGACGACTTTTGAAGTTTGGAAAGAAAAACCACACCTCAACTGCAGGTGACCGGAGTGTTGAATCAGATATTGCTAGTGTAAATGGTTCTGAGCAGGATGACGCTGCTACAAATGCTGCTGCTTCTGGTGAAGGTAATGTGCACTTCACAACTGTTTCACCTTATGAAGAGTAGTATAAAATGAGTAGTTTAGTGCCTAAACTAATGGAGATAGATCTAGGAGTAATAATAGGTACAAGTAGACCTTGGGAAATTGGACAAATAAATCTCATGCTGGAGCTCAGCTGACACTAATCAGTGATTCTAATCTAAAGAGATATTTGTCAGTTGAGATTTCTGCAATCCTTTGTTGTATTACATATTTCACAATTGACATCAATAAGTCAACTTTTGGTTATATCTTTTGACATTTAAGCGTGATCCAGATAAATCGAAAGCTCGGTTAATAAATTCCATCAGAATCTGCTCGATTGGATTATTTTGTGTCTATTTTATTATATTTTCTTACTCTAAAATTTAAAGCAAATTGGTCTAATGGTAGGAGAGAAGCTTCAGAGATTGGAAGAAGTAAAACAAGCCTCAGTCTTCTAAATTGATCAATGATGCTAATGTGTCTATTATGCTACTGATACAATCTTAATGAGCCCATTTCTTTTACCCAGTCAAAACAATGGTTATGTAGATAATCATATTGAGTTTTTGAGAGCATTTCCATATGATACTTATGTTGAAGTATAAATACATAAGTTACACCCTCTCAAACAGCTTAATCTTTTGAGTAGATGCTGCAAACTTATCACTTGTTTAATAAATAATTTCTATTGGCAGTTCTAGTCATATCATTCAAACAAACCTAGTTCATGAGCTGACTCTTTATATTTGCTGCTTGGCATCAGTTCATACATTGAAGAATCTAATCTCGAGGGATGAAACCCCAAATGCCGGCAACAGTTCACAAAAGGGTAAGTGCTTACTTCACTGTTCTACATTCTTCCAGACTAATTACCTCGTGAATCATAGTGATTTGGGATCTCAATCATTTTTTTTTATTTCACCACAGCTTCACGCCATTTCTCTTTGTTGTCGCCCTTTCGTAGCAAGACCAGTGAAAAGAAGGTGGTCACATGAGTGTGGAGATCATTAAGGTAAGGTTGTAGCAATTGTTTTCACATCTTGGCTTTCCTTTGTGTGTGATTTTTTATAAATGGTGTACTATTGTTCTGTGTATCACTCCCTGTGCCTGAATACATTTTCGTTGTAAACTATGTTGTTGTCAAAAAAAGTAGGTCATTGTACATTCAAATCTATATTTCAATTCGCAAAAAGGTGAATTGAATTGGAGCTCCCCCTCTTAAACTTACTACTGAAAAGATTAGTTGTCTGATTGTGCCAACTTGGGATGAAATATTTCTTGGTTTGGGAATACTATGGTTTGATATGAATGTATAAGTGTACTTCATATGCAGGGTATCCCTTGACATCATTGGTAATGACTAGGTAGTCACTTGTACACCTCAAATCATGGCAGAAGATTTGGCTTTGTTAGCGGTATGTATGAGCATTGCTTTTATTATCCTGAAAAAAAGAATTTTCTTTTTTCAATGTTGGGGTATCACAGTTCTTAGAGCATATGACCAGTTGAGTAGTCCCTTGGGCGCATGATTTTGCACTAGCAAATTCGAAGGCAACTTCATTTTTTTTGTTTCTTTTTTTTTTTTGGGGGGGGGTTCATTTCATAAAAGAAGTCTCATGACTGTAAAGCATTTATTGCGAAAATATTTGATGAAATTGGAAGTAAGTCTTGACAAACATGGCATCGTATCAGTCAAAACGAATGACCAAGCAAGAAATGTTGCTTCTGCTCATTCTAGTTAAAGCCTCCTTTGCTAAGCACTCAGCTGCTTCTTGTGGATCGTCTATGTGCCGGATGAGGTTCACAGCCTCTTGATGCTTCATCACCTGTTGTTGTCACAAAACACAGATGATAAATATATGGAATTGTAGAACTTGTAGGTTGGATAGGAAATAACAAGGGAACACATAGGGAATAGGGATCATATGTGGGGGTCGTTCAACAAGGCTTCTATCCACATACACAAAGCTCATAATAGATCCATACATATTATCTTAGATATATTTTCTTTTTCGATTTTTCTTGATGATATTCTTATAGTGTAATGGTGGGGAGTTATTTATATATAGTAATTCCCGTTTGAATTTAGGACGGATGATCTACTATTTACTGAAATTGAATGAAAGTATATTGGTGGGGTTTTAAATCAGGCCATAAGGGTTGCCTATTCTCATTTATATTGATATTGTTTTAAACTGTAATTGAGTTGTGTAATTCATACATGAAGAACAACGATCCTTTTTAATACATTTTTTTGCAATTTTTCTCAATAGTACAATGTATAGATGGGAGACTCATTTATATATAATATGTACTGGAGGTGATTTTGATCCAAGAACACACACATAGATAGGGCGAGAAATCGAATTTGGATCATATCCAATGCATTTTTTTCTCACAGATAGATCATTCATCATAAAATTCAAATGGGACCCACTAATACATAGTGGGCTCCCTCAATACATTTAAATATATATATATATATATATTAATAAGATCTCAAACCAGAGAAATCATTACAATAAACATGAGTACTTAACATAATGCAACACACTGAGCCACCAATGAATTAAGGAAGTTGTCATCCCATGATTCAGGAATTGGTTGGCCTCCTTTGTCTGGATTTTTGTTTTTATTTTTTCATATTGGATAAAAACAGTTTTAGATATGCTCCAATGTACTTTTTCTCAGTGGTAAAGCTCTCGTCCTATATGGATGAAGAACCTACTTTTCTATAATAAAATTCGTGCACGGGTGACCTATGATCCAAATCTGTGGAAAACATAATGGAAAGAAATGCTCGAGTACTATCAAGTGTGTTTTAGTTTTACCTCCCAAATGCCACTGCTTGCTAAGATGAGAAATTCAGTATCAGCATCTATTCTTTGAGATCCAACAAGAAGTTGTGAGTTTTTTGTGGGCTTGGTTCTAGCTGCACCTCCGGAGTCCCACCCTAATAGACGTACTTTAGCCAGGCGTATTGCACCTGGTGGTATGTGGTATAGAACAATCATCAAACATCCACAAAAAAAAAAAAAATGTTAGTGAAAGCATTAGATGAAATAATGGTCACATTCCAAAGACTTGAGTAGTCCGTTTGCAATAATGAAGTGACGGGAGGGCCAAGCAATGCCGTAAGGTGACCCTGCTCTTTCAAGGTAAGAATGGGTAGAGAAAATGTTTTGAGCCAATGTTTGAGTATTAGGTGCTGGACTCATGGTGGGAACAGAAACTCGAATATGAACAATCACCACAAACAATGCACATTGGTGTAACCCGAGTCTTGTGTGCATATGGGACTAGAATTCAAGATTCAAGTTTACATTTTGTCCCCTTATTCGACCATTGAACCAACCTCTGTGTGGATTGTCGGACACATTCACCATTCCACAAGATAATAACTCTAAATTCTTCGTCACCCGTTGGACCATGAACAATTTAGTCATTATAAACTCTGTCGTCTTGTGGAATGAATGTAAATTTAACCTTTTTTATACTTTGTACAATATCAAACAGTTCAAACCGTAAAATTTCACGGTTGTTTGTCCAATACTTTTACTACTATATATCATCCTAACTCCGAGAGTGAATTGTTTCATAAAATCTAGATGAAATTAAATTTTTTTTGCAGAAATTGGAGAGGGAAAAATGAGAACATGCCTGGATAAAATATTCTGGACCAGTGTCTATTTGTTACTTGCTGGTGCATTCTGCTAATGTGATGAGCCTCACCATCTCTACAGACAACAGCTCTGTAGTCACCCATGGTTGCTATCACAAGCTTTTCTCCATTGATAATAATGGCGGATGCTGAACCCACTTTCGACGATTCTTCTGGCTCCTCTGTTTCTCTGATCTTTGCTCTTGCACCAAGATATGCCTTTCTCAGTGTTTCTTTGCTCCTTCTCCTCATTTCAGACTGACAGACATTAACATTCAAACTTACCCAGAAAAAAAACACATTCAAGCTAAGAAAATGAAGAAAGATAGGTAGAGGTATTGCAATTATAGCACCAGCAAGCATTTTTTTTTTCACCGATAAGAAACAAACTTCCGTTTCATAGAAAGTGGAATCTACCTAATACCGAAAAGAAATACAACAAAAATAAAATGAAATTAGCTTCTTGTTGCTTTCCAATTATGTTATAAGACCGAAAAAGAAGTATTACTAATATAATTTGAAATAACTGTTCAAAAAGATGCTAAAAACTTCGCTCTAAACTCTAGCTTAGCAAGCATTAGTGGAACCAAATTTTCCCCTATTTCCCTATTTATAGGTTTAGTGTATGGAGTTGTCAACGCTACCAAAAAAAAAAAAAAAATTGGTGTTTTTATTATTATTCTGGTGTTTTTACTACTAATATGTTACCAAAAAAAATAGTTACCACAAAAGTGCTCAAAAAAATAAAAAATCAACTACAAAAGTGAATTTTTTTGTACCAAAGAAAAGTGATAAAAATAGTTATTAGTGATAAAAATACCAACAAAAGTGATAAATCACTCACAAAAATAATATATTTTTTTATTACAAAAATATCCACAAAAATAATAAATTATTCCATTTGTCAAGTCCCAAGTCTATAGCCTATACAACAATCTACCCAGCTTAGCACCTTTATCGGCAAATCAACATTGGGCAATCATCATCTTTCTCGGACTTTTAGAGGATAAATTTTGTATTCTAAATACATTTGCACCACACAGATTTTGTTGTGGGGCTCAAATGCATCTGCCCCGCACATTAAATAAAAACATTAATAATTTGAGCCCCATTACAGTGTATGTGTGTGTGGTGTAAATATATTTGTAATACAAAATTTAGACTAAGATTTAAATAAAATAATAATGCTGGAGAAAAATAGAGTACTAATCCATAAAAATATACTTTAATACCTCACTTTGTTCCTAATTCAAGGTGATTCTAAAATGATCTAACAAAATGGTGGTGCAAAATTACTTAGAAAACAACTTGAAAAAATGTCCATCATACATGGTCAATTCCGTTAGTCATTGCAAACAGTTTGTCTTTGATTGGACTGTTGAGAGTCAATTTGAAAACTTTAGGAACTGACGAGACTCCATTGACATTGACAGAAATTAAAATGCCAAATTGAGAAATAGTGCTTACTTTAGAAACTTTTGTTATTGTATTGTAAAACCATAAATTGTATTAAATAATAAAGAGTAATAGAGTACTAATGACCAAGAATTTTTTATTAATCTTGTTTAATTATTATTGTTTTTGTTTATTTGGAGGGTAAAATAGTAAATTTATAAATTAAATAGGTTCAATAGTACGGCTAGAGTGTATCATTTAGTTAAACATTTGAAATAAGACTATATATAATATATAGTGAGGTCGTTTGGTTGCAGTATTAAGGAGTCATAACAAATTAAAACTCTCTAATCCAACGTTATATTGCATTTGCTTCTAAAAAAATATTTCGTATTATAAAGTCTTATTTCAAATGTTTATCTAAATAATACACTATAATACACCTGGGGAGGTGGTATTATAGTCTATTTCAAGCGTATTAAGTTATAAATTTACTCTTTTACCCACCAAATAAAGAAAAATATTAATAATTAGACAATATTAATAATTTTTTGGTCAATATATAATTAAGATTCTATTATCTCACATTAATCCAGTGTCTAATCAAACGCTGGATTACAATGAATATTAGTTTTATCCCATATTTAATCTTGTGTTTTTTTCGCTTATACAAAATTTGTTCTTATTAACTAATACGATCATTTCTTTTACTATAAGGCAACCAAACGAGTTTAATATTTTTTGAAACCTAATACAATATAAAATTAAATTAGAGAGTTTTAATCTGTTATGATTCTGTAATGTACCCTTTATTAATATTGCAACCAAACAATCCTATTGTATTGTGAATACAAAAGGCGAATATTATAAATGATCACCCTTGGACTATGTCTTTTGTTTCACAGTGCCCCTCAATTTAGTCCTTGCACAATCTGAAGTATAGTGGCTATTTCCACTGCTAAAACAAACATTAGACTAGCAAAATGAAAGTGTAACGGCAAAGTGAAACAATTGCTACGAGGTTTTTTTTTGGTCTTTTAACAGAAAATAGAACGGAAGTGATTGATTCGTATACTCTATTTGGTACGGTAGAAAATTAGAATGATAGATAAAATATTATGTTTGGTAAAGAAGAAAAATAAGATGGATAGAAAAGTGGATGAGTAAATTTTTCTTCTAACTCATCAAAATCAATTCCTTCAAAATTGAAAGAAAAGTGGATAAAAAGTTAATTATTTGTGTTGAAATATATCTTATTTGTCTATATATCCTTTGATATATACATATATTATGTATACATTAATTTCATATATAAATACAATGATAAAATATGAATTTATAATTTTTTTTAAAAAAAATTTAAATTTAAAAACAAAAAAAATAAAAAAATTTCTACCTTACCAAGCACAAAAAAAAATTAATTATTTTTATTTTTCATCCATCCAACTAAATATAAAGGAAAAAAATTATATTATTCTTACTTTCTTTTTTTGAAAGATAGAGAGTATATCTCTCCTACTTTATCTCTTTCCTACCAAACGAAGCATTATGTTTTTTACATACTTTAAGGACCAAATTTGAGACATTTAAAAATTAAACATTCATTTAAAAATAATGGCATATATGACATTTATTCTATAATAAAAACTTTTTTTCATCCAAAAAAAAGACAAAATTCTAGAGAATTTTTTTTTTTTGATATAGGTTACTCCACATATCTGTCAGGAAGTATTATTCTTCAGTACTACACAACTATCTGTAAGAGACCCCACACAACACTTGCATCGGGAACGAAACTAGGTATAGTCGTGTGTTCTAGACATTAAAGAGTAAGTTTAGCCCCATCGAATATCATAATTATAAAATTCGACTTCTTATTCACCGGACTAACTGCTAATTTTAATGATTTCCAAGAAGTTGTTAAAATAAACCCCCCAAGCCAATTACACATGCATATTGATGGTGATCAAATGGAAATTAACAACAAATTAAAATCAAATAATCTCTCATTTACCTCTTTAATCTTCTTACCAAACAGATGTGACTGCATGTACTTGGAGACTCCATCTCCAATCCTAGCATCGAAAACTCCAAAAAACCACATTTCAATATTCTCTCCAATTTGCTCTCTCTGCACCACAACTGAGTCCGAGTCCAACTCACTTGACTCGTCTTGGAGTGAGTACATATCCACAACATGATACCCATGAGAGAGAGGCACCATCCATGAAGGCTTCTTTCCATTCTCAGACTCTCTTTTCTTCTTTCCACCATCTCCTATAAGGAAATGTCTTAGCCGAAATGCCTGCCCATTTCAGAGCAAAATTTCAACATTTTTCATATACATGCATGAAAATTCATCTTTTCCACCGATGGAAAGGACTTCAAGATGAACACCTTCAACTCAAAAGGTAGCTCAAGTGATAATGGCACGCACCGTAAACCTAGATATCTTAGTCTACGGATGACTCAACCCCTTGGGTCAGGCTACCTCATGAATACTTTAGTCTAGGCATGAATAATTTGCTTTTGACTGGACCGAAGAGGGGATTAATCGAATTGCGCATAAAATGGACTAGACACTGCACTTGGCCATTATAAAAAAAAAAATGAATAACTTCTAAAAGATTACTGACCAAGAAGGATTTTGTGTGTTTTTGTGCTCCGAGGGAGAGAGAGAGCCTTGCTGATGAGAAATGAGTGAACTTACATTTTATATCAAACACAGACCAAAGAAAATGTCATTTTTTTCTGTTAGTAAAACCATGTTTATGATCTCTAACTCCATTCATTACTTTTTTTTTTTTTAACAAACTAGCATTTTGAGAATTACAACTTATATAAAAACAAACGTATCACTACTCAGAAAACCAAGTAATCGACCTTTTCTAACAGTCCATGCACCACCGAGAGAGAGAGAGAGAGAGGGTTGTACCTTGATCTTAAGATGAAGATCCTTAAACCCCATGTTTATGCTGTAAGCTGTGTAGATACCCACCCAAACTAAGTTCTTGTTATTTGATTTGTTGATGATAATCAGATAAAAAGGGTAAAATTTTCAAAAATTAAATAGAGAGAGAAAAGAGGGGGAGGGAGCAAATCTTGTTTAAATGTTTGTAAGAAGTTTTGAAGCCAATAAGAAGTCTAAAGCTGTTAGGACTTATTAATGCCCACACTATTTTTAGAGAAAATTGTCATAAATGTTTTAATCTAAGCATCATCTCAAGAGTTTTGAATTTTCTGAGGTGGAAAATCAAAAAGTAACGGTCAGTTTCTGATTTTTGTTAGCCAATCAGGTAATAATACAAACCCATCTGTTAATTTATAACAACTAATAAGGCTAAAAACCAATCCGGGGTTTGGTTTGGTTCATTTTGCATGTATAAATTGTTTTATATTCTTTTCAAATTTACTCACCTTTAATTTGACTTCTTTTTTTTTTTTTTTATTATTTTTAAGGAGACTTGTTTGAATTAATATAGTTTCTCCTTAGATTCATAAGTTGCGATTTTCAAAAAAAACATATTCAAAACATCGTTAGCAAAATATATGAAACCCAATCTCATCCTAATTAACGAGAGTTCAAGGCTATTGATGCGGGGGGTTGGTTCAAACCATTCTCCTCCACTAGGAAGGAAGGAAAGAGAGAGAAAGGAATTTGAGTCGTAAAACTGCTGCCTTGCCTAGCCTAGCCTAGCATGAATTAGATCTAATGGTGAGTAAGATAAAAATCAGATTTTTTTTTATGAGAATTTTCAATATGACATTTTTGTTGAGCGGACCAGTGAGGCAAGAAGTGTTTAATTATTGTAAACTATTCATGCGGAGCTCAACTGAACAATTCATCAAAAGACTAGTGAAATTGCAGTTTCACCACCGCCTTTAGCGCTGATCCCGAGCAGCGTGTCAGCCGAGAGTGAACTCGGTGAATAAACTCGGTGAAAAAATGGTGTAGGGTACAAAAACTTGTTTTCCGGTACCCAGGTCTAAACCCTTTCCGGCGTACATGGCTTGGGCCAGTGCATGTAAAGCTCAGGCTTATAATGCCCATTTACAAATAATTCTATGGCAATCCAAAGCTCTAAATAATTAAATTTTCATGTTAAAGTATATCATTATGTGTTAATAAAATTAATTCATATATATATATATATATATATATATATATTAGTTTAACAATAAAGAGTCTTCGAATCAACTTATATATACTTTCATTAATCCTTTCGTCAGTCTAATCAAAAATAAATTATTCATACTGACACTAAAATATTAGATAAATTACTCATGATTTAACTCCAAAAGATTGTTAAAATTTAAACTCAATATCTGAATTTACAACTCATTCTATGTAACCACTTAAACTTCCTTAGGATTTGATTGAAATATCTGACTGAACCTTTATATGCATCGACGATTATACATTGAATCAACCAAATCCTAATCACGTTGTAGGGTTATTTATCGTGACTCTCTCTCTACATATTAACAGAAGTCTCTCAAAGCACGTTTCAAATGAGATGGACACATTAGAGACTGCAAGCTCAAGTTTTTGTAGCCCTTGTTAAGGCTTCTGGTTCAACTAAGCAGCACCAATTGGCAACGTAAAGTTGTCCATGTTTCTGATTCATAAGACAAATGATTCATCAGAAACAGATCAACAGAACAATGGAAGAACACAAATAGCCAGAATAGAACTATTAGTGAAACTAAGGCATTGATTTGTGTCACAATACAAAACAGCGTTCTTAATCTGCCCTCAAAACTCGAAATCAATAAAAACAGCCAAAAAACAATCCCAGAGTACAACTACAGGAAAATTCATAACAGAATCGGTATTTGAATTAAATTTATGCTTAGGCGCTCTGCTTTTTCAACTTCGCAAGTTCTTGTCTGACCAAACCAGCCCTCTGCACATGAATATTTATGAAAAGCATTAATTTAACAGGTTCAAAATGTTAGCAACTCAAAATAATTAGATAAGTAGGATGAATGTTTGTTCAAATGTTGGAATTTTATCAAACCAACCTTGATCTTTGCCAGCATGAGCTTGAACCTGTCAAAATCATTAAGAGAGGCCCTTCTCTTCTGCACTATCAGCTTTCTGCCCCAGGAGCTGTTCTCCCACTTGTTTTTAACATCTGCCATAGTAGAAATATATGTGAACCTTACTATCGCACAATATACAAAAACAAGCTACACTTCGTCACAGTTACGACTATCCCTACCAGCAGCCTCCATCGCTGCAATCAGAATCTTCTTTTTTGGGGTCCTTGTGATATCAATTTTGATATCAGTGAGTGAGAGCCTCTTAAAGTTCATCTGGCATCTCACCATGTCAGGGGCATCCACCAGAGCCTGTGAAGATTGAACATGAGAATTTCCAAGCAAGATGGCAAATAAATACTTCCCAGCAGCAGCAAGGTTTCAATGTTGAAAATGCATGTAGATGAATATAAGATATCCCAAAAATAGAAAATACAAATACATGGCTTGAAGGTCAATAATAGAGAAATAGCTTCCTTGCAAGGATAAATGATGTGACAAACACACAAATAGCAGGTCCAACTGAGATGGTCAGAATACTAATCAACAAGAAGATGCAACCACGCAGACAAGCTAAAGATATATCCTACATTTGTTGACAGAAACATGTCCTATAAATGAAACACATCAATGTCCCCTTACATATATTTACTACTTCAAAGCCAAAATCATTAATACCACTCCAACAATAAAAATTAAAAATCAAATATAAATGTTTTGAAATTTCAATAAAATCATCTTTGCAATCTTAATCTTACAATTATTTAACAACAAAAGCATGGCAACACCAATCCCCAGATTTTCAAATAATCAATACAAATTGCCATTTATGTCAGTTTGTAATCTACATATGAAATCAAGAAAAAGCATCCATCCAGCTGATTTTTCTAAATACTATACCTTCTCTGTGTTTTTTCTATTGTGTGGGGTGGGGTTGGGTGGAGACGGTTTACAAAGAGGAAATAGAAAAACAATGCAACAACATTCAAACTGAAATTCAGTAAATAATAGTGCAGAAAATTAAAGTATGCAAAACTTGAAGCAAAATATATATTAAAAATTTCTCCTTTGAACAAATAACAATCAGCATGTGAAAAAATGAGAATTGCAAGTAATGAAAAAAAAAAACAAAACAAAAAGAAGAAAGTACACAATCAATATGCCAACGTCAGATATAAATACATAAACTAAAAAAGCACAACAGATAAGTTACCATTCCGGTAAAGAAGAAAAATACTTGTTAAAAAGTGGTGTAATTATGAGCAGGCAATAGGTTGGATTCCCCTACGAGATGGGTGAAGCAATCCGTGAAAACTAAGAATAAGAGCACTGTTTTGCTAACCCAAGTTCTGTTTTTTACATATTTTAAGCAAGAACAATAGAAGTACAAATCCAATTGAAGGGATAAAAAAAGTCTGAATTTCATGACTGATAATTCTTCTGCTCATTTTTCATGTCTGATACATTGCTATGCAATAAAATCAGCCTATGAGTATTGAGGCCAAACCCAATTCAATTTCAAAATTTGACCCAAAATAAAACACAACAAAAGATACAATATTGTCTTCCCATTTCCTGCACTTCCTCAGAAACCAAAAGAACATAAAACCCTCTCTGTTCATTCCACATAAACAAGAGCCTACTAACATTTTCTTAGCACAAATGCACCTGTCATTTTCCATCATCTTAATCCAAAACAGCACAAGACATTCGCATATTTTCCTTTATTTTTCCTAAACTTATTCGGAAACCCAGAAAAAGTTTTAAGCTTAATCCAACTGGTCCTAAGGGCATTTTTAGCTAAAACACAAGTAACATCCTCAATGTTGAAATACCAAACAACGCATAGTCTGATATCTAAATCAATTATCTCGAACTTCCACATCAAACAAACGGGGATTGAAAATAAGAAATAGAGAAACATTACTCGATTATGGTCGATGACATCGACGATGACGACAAGCTTCCCATATTCTTTGCCGTAGTTCACGAGAGCGACCCTCCCGACCTCAATGAAACGCTTGAACGGCTACAAAAAATCAATCACAAAATCAGATCCATCAATCAACTTCTGAGATTTGAAGTTGAAAAAGATAAAAAAAAAAATAGAGTAATTGAGGGTTATGAGTCATCACCATTTTTCAGGTCTGTTAGGGTTTGTTGAAGGCCAAAGAGGAGGCGAGAGGGTACTGAACTGAGAAGAGAAAGCGCTAGGGTTTTGTGATCGTTTTATTGGACTGTGGTGCGGATCGGTTATGGAGCTTGTCCATTGGATGCTTAAATCGTGTTTTATTAAAATTATATTTAATTTATATGTCGATTCATTTATAATTATATATAAGTTTATTTTTAATCGGGTCATATCTATGATTTACATATCTAATGGTTTCAATTGTTTTATTATGAATTTATTAAAATTAAATTAAATCTTAATTACATTTTTATCTCAAATCAAGTTCTTGAGTTGTGTTTTAAAATTATTAGGCCTGTGGTTTTTTTTTTCGAAATGGATGTTTTGAAAATGAAAAAAGGCTAGAAATAAAAAAAAAAAGGAATGGTCTTTTTTGTTCATGAGCTCTACTTTTAAATGAAAAGTTTGATAAACTATAGCACGAATGGTTCTTTTTCTTTTAATTTTATGTGATAAGAAATCGAACCAATTTTTTAATCAATTATTTATTTATTTTTTTTTTGACTTGGAAAAAAGGTTATGACATAAAAAATTTGTTTTAACGTGAGCATAATAATCATTGCAGTAATAGATTTTATTGACGCTTCTTAAAGATAAGTTGTTAGAAACAAATCAACAATCCACTCTTTACAAAAGGAACATAGGTGATCATTCTCAGAATGACTCTTAATCATAGGACTAAGAGTCATTCTGATAATCTTCAAGCAATTGGAAGTCTCTTTCGAGGATAAGGCCGAAAAATTTATGTTACATTCTTAATCTTAATCATAGGATATGGTTCTACTTCTATCACCCACCAAGCTTTCGAATTGAACCTATGAATGGTAGGCTTATGACTATTGATCTACTAGTGGTTTAGGTGACGAGTTTGGTTGTTGTGTTCACCCGTGATGGCGTGTGTGCGGGAGAAAGAAAAGGAAAAAACATTGAATGCTGGTCAGATTTTTCGTGATTAAATATGACTGAAACGGAAAAAAAGATTTTTTTTATTTTATTTTAACGGTCAGAGATGTCCGAGCCAGGTTACGCGCATCTCAACTAATCCTCTCCCCCAATTCTGTCAAAAGACAGGTCATTCATGTCTGGACTAGAGAATTCATGAAGAATAAATATCTCATGGCCTAACCCCAAATAGGGGATTTATCCCTTACGAATTCCTTAGTTCCAGCGTGGATGTTCTGTTTTTAACCGAACTGGAGAGGGAATTAATCGAGGTACACGCTGACTTAGACACCCTGACCATTAAACCAAAAAAAATAAAAAAGGACGGAAAGAGGGGCCTCCGGAGGGTGTTGTTTGATAAATACAAAAATAGTGTCATTGTAATTTATTGAAATATTCAAGAGTTCATATATTGGACTTGTAAATTGAAACAAAGCAATCCCTTTTTATCAATTTGAAGTAAATCTTTTATAATTTAAACTAGAAATTACTCTTTTAATAGCACTCTTTCTGAGTTGACAAAATGCTGATGCAAAAGTCCATTTTTGGGTCGACAATTAATGGAGAGTAGTGAAGGGGAAATTTAAATACAAACTCGGATTTCTTGATGAATGTTGGAAATCAGATTACCTCCTAATGCCTTCAATGAAACTGTCTTACTTTTTTAACACAACAATACTTACTCTTAAATGAAAGAAAATAAGACTAGCGAGACTCAATTTAGTTCATATTTTTGGGAGAGATGACTTTTTAATTTATCGAACAAACTCACTTTGCTCACCCTCGTGTTAATTTCTACGACATTTTGATATGAAAAATCCATGAAACGTGGCTATTTATGATTTCCATAGTGACATGCAAAAGTTAGTGGCTACAAGTAAAAGAAGAGGAAAAAAAAATGCTTTGGGGGATTTTAATTACGAATTCGGACCAATTTGGATTCCTTGTGATATTCTAAAGAAAGTGTATGATTCAAAATAAACCTTGGTGACGGCTGCACTTCCATTTTAGAATATGCATTCAAAGTCACGAATCTTCTTATTTCCTTTCAAAGCCAAAGATTTTTAATTACCTACCACTTTTATTAAAGGAGCCTAGAAAAATCTCTCTCTCTCTCTCTCTGGTATACCTGAGTGTGCATTGGATATTTTCTTAGATTTTTGAAGAATTTGGATCTCTTTTAGTATATTTTCTCTTCAATTTCTTTCTTGATAGATGATTCACCATTAATGAATGAAGAATCTATTTAAATACAAAGCTTTATAGTATCCTGACGATGATCCATTATCTTCCCTATAGTCAAATATAAAGAATTTAACTTTCATTTTTTATTCTATTTCATTTAAGAACTTGAAATTTGATGATATTTAGAATGATTTTCGAGCAGGAGCTCGGGAACGGAGGTCAAACATGGAGGTCAAGTATGCTGAGCTCAGAAAGTCAGAGCTATGCAGAGCTCAGAAAATCAGAGTTAGAACTCCCCTCAAGCGAGATTATAAGCTGAAGTAATGAGGAAGCAACTGGATACTACAAAGAACTCGACAGGCGGTTTGAAGTAACACTCAAGGAACAAAAATCCTTAACCAACCAAGATACTCTCTTAAGATCAAGGAGAATTCCTCAGACAGATGGCGAGGATCACGGATCAGATCCCATAGATTAAGGGATACCCTTATAAATACTATGTAACGCCACCAACAGAGGGGCAGAACCCTTGCATCACATCTTACATTCTGTAAACCTTTTGGTATAATAAATAGTGAAGGAAAGAGCAAAAATCTCCATTGAAGAGTGGATTAGTCGAGCTCCCGAGCTGGTGAACCACTATATTTCTACTGTGTTAATTCCCCAACTCCCCAACAATTCTCAATATCATTCCCTCAAGTTTAGTAGCTCAAATCCCAATAATTCTAATATTGTTTCTTTCATCAACTCATCATCACAAAATTGCATCACGTTGAAATATACCATCAGTTTGGCGCCGTCTGTGGGAAAAACTGGTCCTATTATAAACAAACTGATCTTTCAGTGACTGATGGTATCAATGTGAAACATGAACCGAAGTCAAACAAATCTGCCACGGGCGCAAGATTAACAAGAAGTTGCCAATAGCAGTCAACCTGAGAGTGTCCAGGAGATCAATCTCCCAGTGGGGGGTCTCCCCATGAATAACAAGATGGAGGCTCTTCGCCTCTCCAATCAACGCTTGCTAAAACAAAATGAAAAACTTTTAAAGCTCTTACAAAGCCCACAAGAGGCACGACAGGCTCAAGAAGGCCAGAACAACCTCTCACCTAGGGAACAACCACACCTCGACCCCCTCAGAGAAGTTAACAAATAAGGGAAAAACAGCCAAATCATGGGGCCAGAACCTCGCATACCCCCCAAGGAATGGCCACAACGACGAAAGACAGAGTCAGAACAAAGAAGGTGAGAGAAACAATTTTTTTCCCTATCAACAGGAAAGGAGAGAACAATACTAGGAGTAGCACTTCTAAGATATCCAGCAAGAGCTCAGCCACATGAAAGAAGTCGTGAGAGGTAGGGCTCCAGTTACCATGGATGTCTTGGTGCAGCAGACTGAATCCTCGTTCACTACTGGGGTACTGCATTTTTCCCTCCCTATGAAATTCAGAATATCGCAAATAGACACTTTCGATGGAACAAAGGATCTCGTAGATCACCTCAACACCTATAAGAACCAGATGAAGTTGCATGGATACCAGAATCTAGTGCGTTACAGAGCTTTTGCCATCACGTTGAAGGGCTCAGTCATAGCATGGTTCAATAGGCTCCCCCCAGCCTCGATATCCTCCTTTAAGGAACTGTCCATATCCTTTGTGTCTCACTTTATAGGAGCTCAAACGTACAGAAAGCCGAGTTACCACTTGCTAAATGTGAAATAGGGACCCCACGAGAACTTCAGATCCTATGTTCAAAGGTTCAACTCGGAATCGCTAAAAGTGGACGTCCCATACGAGAAATTTGTCATTACTGCATTTATAGCTAGCTTGGGTGTCCAATCTAAAGACCTGATGTTCTCCATCTCGAAAAATTCCCAGGCTAGCATGGCCGAAGTACTGGCCAAGGCGGAAAAATACATAAACGGCGAAGAAGCTCGCTCTCAAAAGTGGGGAGCTCATCCATGCAAAAAGACAAAGGGAAAGAGGAGAAAAAGAGGGACCGAAGTCCCAGAAGAGAGAGAGGATGAGATAGGTCACCAAGAAGAGACAAAGATCGATCCCCCAAAAGAAGGGGAGACGTTAGAGATCGCCTGAGACCACCTCATCCAGAGTTGCAGTCGAGGTACGCACCTCGGTAGATTCTCCCACTTACCATAACAATATCGCAAATCTTGTATGAAGTACAAAATAAAAAAATTCCTAAGGTGGCCACCTCGGATAAAAGCGGACCCGGCGAAAAGGGACCCCTCAAAGTACTGTGAGTACCACAGGGACCATGGTCATCATACTGATGACTGCATTCAGTTGAAAAAAAGATATAGGGTTCCTGATCCAACGAGGGCAGTTGCGTCGTTACATAGCCCAAGAGAATCAGAATCGAGCCCCACCACCTCAGCAGCAAGCTCCTGCGCAGCACCAACAACCCCTAGGAGAGATCAGGGTAATATCAGGGGGTTTTGTAGGAGGCGTGGAATCTAGTTTAGCCAGGAAAGCCCACCTATGCAGAATCAGAGTTGGTGAGGCTTTGGAGGTGTACGTTGTATCTAAGACACCACGGCTGAGCTCTGACATCATATTCTCAGATGCAGACTTGGAAGGATATCAACACCCCCATGACGACCCACTGGTGATAAGGGCTGTTGTGGCTAACAGAACTGTTCACCGAATTCTGATAGATAACGGAAGCTCAGCATATATCATATTTGCTTTCACATTTGACAAAATGAGCATAGGAAGGGAAAAGCTAGAGCCCGTGAATGCTCACCTGTTGGGATTTATGGGAGAACGAGTATTGCCACTAGACTCAATCTAGCTTGTGCTCACTATGGGAAACCCCCTGTAAGGCAACCACTACAATAAGATTCCTAGTGGTTGATGCCCCCTCTGCATACAACATGCTACTCGGGAGAC